TTTGCGCAATTTCCCACTCGGTAACAGGTAGGTAGGTAGGAGAAGGTATCAGCAAAGCATTAAAAGGTCATAAAACGTGATAAAATCACCATGAGAGTATTTCCTAGTCCTGGAGGGAAAAATTCCATATAATGCAAAAACTCGATCCCCCACAAAACCAGAAACCTAGCCTCTCGCCTATGAAGCGTCACGCTTACCACTACACCAAGCCGCCGTTGAGGGGTGAGCTGCTTCCATGTAATTTACGTTTTCTCATGTAATGTCACATAAAACCACCCTCATAACTCCGTTCAGAGAATCGCTTGGCAGATTTGAAGAGCGGATTTGAATTCAGCGCCCAAAAATACGTCTAGCAGTATAGGTCTTATTTCAAATGGCCACTTCGAGTTGGGATCCTTCCCTGGTAAGGTGAGTTTTCCGCAACTCAGAAGCGGGTACCCATTCTGAGCTGCGTTTTCCGCAACTCAGAACGGGTACCCGCATTTTCTATGAATGCGCCCAGTGGACGACCTTTTCCTCTAACAGGGTATGAGGAGCTACGTGCGTCCGAGTATGCGCGCGGGAGGCAAATTGAGCGGTGAAATTCGTAACGTAAATTTGAGGTCGTCGTAAAAAGCGACTTTAGCGCCTATCATTGGGGCCTACATAAATTTGAAGTAGAGTAGCTGAGAAGGATAACCCCGCTAAACTACTGTACTTCAAGTTTGTGCTCCGATAGTAGGCGCCAGAGTCGTTCGAATCATCACGAATGTGCGTCGGTGTGTGTGTCCAACCGCAAATTCATAACCCCTGTCCCCATGGACCGAGAGCTTTCAAACTTGGTAGGAATACAGTGGGGGATGAGAACACTCAAGGTGGGTGGCAGGACCGGATTCCGTGCACAGGGAGCGGGCGTGCGCAATAAAAATTTGGGCCGCAAATTCATAACTCCTGTTTACGTGGACCTAGAGCATTGGAATTTGGTAGGATTACACTTCTCGTACTAACAGTGGAACCTCAGCATTTTAGTAAACGATGTAGGATATGACGGGATCGTGGGTACTTGGTGACAAGATTTGATCATAACTGGTGAATAGAAAATAAGTGACCGAAGAGAGGCCACCTACCGGTCAAAATTCTAACCCTTTGATATTTACGATGTAGCTTTTGCTGTTCAGTATGTTTCATTCGGTAAGACGAGTGACAGGAACCTACTAGCGGCACTACGCTAAGCAGGTTAGAAACTTATTCATTTCACCAGTAAGGCCGCCCGGCTAACGCCGGGCTTCCCTCCTTTTTAAAAGGACGCCCGGCTTCGCCGGGCGCTTTTCCTTCTTGTAAGAAATTTGCTATGCGTAAATAACACTTCGGATTCTCCTTTTTCTTTGGAAGCTCTGCACCCTCAGTAATAGCTCTGCATTGCAAGCGATTTTTTCTGTATTGCAATTAATTATATACTAATTAAAAGTTTCGATTCGTTGCTCTTCAGCTCGAAATTGTGTGAGATTGATGGCTTAATTGATTGAAAACCAATGTCTTGAATGGTACCCAGAAATGGAGAATAACGCCTATCACAGATGTCGTTATCAACGGAACATTTTCTCCACGGATTTTTCATTAAATGGGAATCACAAATCATTAACGGTCAGATGAGTTTAGTCACAAATGATATGTCACAAGACAAAAAGGAATCGTGGTACTTCATTGTGTCACAAAGCTTACTGCGTAACGGTCGTAGTCTAATAGCAAGAAATGAACAAAATTCTCATTTTATCATGGAGAAAAGTCTTTGATCGGTAGCTATTACAGCATTTACAGCATTAAAGAGTCAGTGTTTGATCATGGATACCCTTTTGCTCTCCTAGACCCCTTATAAGTTCTTATCAGATGTTATCAGTTCCTGTCACAAAGTACCTACGACCACGTGACATCCTACATTGCCATCTTTGAAAAGGTTCCACTGTTGACACGAAGGGGGTCGCAACACTTGCTCGTTTATTATGATCTGTCCTTATCACTAATTAACTTCGTCCCTTCACATCCTGCACTATCTGCTGGAATGCTCAGGCGTTAGTATGAAAGGCGTTGTAGACTTGTTGGCCTTCGCCTCCTCTCAGTTTCTATCAGTTTCTAACAGTTTTCCGAAGTGCCAAAGCTCTGCCGTCAACAGGAAGTTAGTAACGGTTCCTGTGGCTCTCGCCTTTCAAGGCTCTTTATCAAATCCTTTTAATTGTTATCACCGCTTATCACCTATCATCGGTGTTCCTATCCTGCTTCCTGTACTGTACTCCTAGCAAATTTCAACGCAATAGCACCAAGTAAACAGGAGCTACGAATTTGCAACCTGAAATTTCTATCGCGCACGCCCCGCCCCCTGTGGGCGGAGTTCGACCTTGCTACCTGCCATAAGTGTTCCCATGCTGGCCCCTGTGCTACTGCCAAATTTGACCTTTCCAGGTCCACGGGAACAGGAGTTATNAGTTATGAAATTACAGTTCAAAATTTCTATCGCGCACGCTCCGTCCCCTGCGGGCGGAGTCCGGTACTGCCACCTGTCATAGGTGTTTCCATGTTGCCCCTCGCACTGCTACCAAATTTGACCTTTCCAGGTCCACGGGAACAGGAGTTATGAATTTGCGACCTAAAATTTCTATCGCGCTCCTACCAATTTTGAAGGCTTTGGGTCCACCGGGACAGGAGTTATGAAATTACAGTTCAAAATTTCTATCGCGCACGCTCCGTCCCCTGCGGGCGGAGTCCGGTACTGCCACCTGTCATAGGTGTTTCCATGTTGCCCCTCGCACTGCTACCAAATTTGAGCTTTCTAGGTCCATGGGAACCGGAGTTATGAATTTCCGGTCAAACACACACAATGGCACACCAACAGACACACTTAGCGAATTATATAAAGTAGGATACTATCAGTAGATCACGACTGCTACCCAGCTAGGTTTGTGATTCAATGAAGCATCCTCTTTGCTTCATATCATTTGCGACAAAACTTGATCGACCGCCAGTAATCTGGAAATATCAACTAATGATATCTCCGTAAAGAAAATGGCCCATTGATAAGGAACAACTTATGACGGTGCTATCATCACTCAGAACATCTCCACTGCATCATCTTTGACTGTCTAACAGTTGGGTTTCTGATATTGATTTCTAAGGAAGAGAGCAAAAGTTCGAGACTTCCAATCAAAGACGTAAGCACCGACTTTACCTGAATATCATTCGCACCTGTTGGTCCTGTATCAAGTTTCGGGTGCAGGGAACTGTCATTTGTTTCAAAAAGCAGGGCAGAGTTAGACTTTCTACAAAATTATCAAAGAAGTAGGGAAGCTTTCGATTTCTGTTGTGTCAAAGAAGGATTTTGAGCTCTGTTTCAGTTTCATACTCTCACTCAGCCAAACAGCGGAAAAATCTAAATCTTTAAACTTTGAAAGAGAAAAAAATTCTTTAGTCCACCATTTTTCGGGATAGGGCGTTTGACACAAGAAGGAGGAGAGCCTGGCGCTAGCCGGGCGATCCGACTGGTATACCCATACCCCTTGTCCCCAGCGTAAATGGCATGAAGATTATGGTGTTACAGTGCAGTACACAATTCACGAAAACTCAAACAGCCCAAGCGCGGTTTTCTGCATGTTTCTTCCATATTTGTTTTTAACCATTCTCTCAAAATATGTGATACAATGAATCGATAAGACCACAAGGATTTGTCATAGAAAGGGCTTCGCATGGCTTCATAAAAACTACCGAAAAGCGGAAATATTATTCCACGACCTTTTTAAATTCTACAATGCACTACGCGGTGTTTTCTAGTGTGTTAAAGGTTGGGACACTCAGTAGAAGTCGCTGTATAATTGTGTTGGGATGTTCAAAAGAAGTCTCAGAAAGGATATCATTTTAAACTTCAAGACGATATGATTCCATCTCAATTGACATATCTTGGTAACTTTGTAGAAGAAATGTAACTCCAATACAGCTTTAATGGATTTTCTCGATATTTCACATGCTGGAACGCGTAACTCGACCCTCACGTGGCAACGCTCGCTTAGAATCAGTCAAACGAAGATGTTTTCACATAAAGAACATATGTTTTCTTAGCCCCCTTTTCTGAGTGAATACATTGGAAGTATTCTGGAGCGAATAACACAAGTTGATATTTAGGATGCGTAGGTGACACTTGGCTTGCAGGCTTCCACGCGTACCTGCTGGAAAATGCGACACAAGTTATTGTGTAAGTCACGAATTTTTTCTGCGCAGTATTTTTTAGCAAGATAATATCTTTGATGAACAGCTAGGAATCCGTTGTTGTTGTTAGTTGTCGTCAATTCCTCCTCTATGTCCATGACACCCTCCGCCTTCAAAATAGCTGCAAAACGTTCTTGATTTCATCACCCGATCTATCCTTGAATACCCACGTCACATAATTTCGGCTCTGAACTCCGCTGTTTTCCCTTGCGGCGGTCCTGTTCCCTTCTCACTACGTACCCATACCACTTTATCTGATTCTAGGCAGAAGATTTTTCATGTTTGCCTTGGAATCTGTTTCTGACCCGGTTTGCTGGGCTCGAATTGCGGTCTATAATCGGGAAAGCACATGTGGGCAAACTTTATATCCCAGCCACTGGGAGTGTATCTCCTTATTTAGAACGGTGGTTCAGTGTAATTTCTTATTGAACAGAATAACGCGAGACGACAATAGGAGTTTGAGGGCGATCGCCACTCGATGCTTGGTCGGACACAATGAAATATCTTTCAACTAACCAGGGAGGGGTAGTCTACTTATCTTGGAACTTTGAATTCAGACCCAGATAAATCGTTAGAGTTTCGAATGCTGCTTACGAAAATGGAAATTAAAACTGCAAAATGGTTTTCCTTAAAAAGTTATGTTGGCCTGAATTTTGCTCGACAGTAGTATCAATTGG